GCGAAGTATGTTCAGGTTGGGGTAACTATACAAAGATTGAAGATGGGCTGAATCTGCATTAAGAAGACTAACTGTTAGTTCGGTTCAGGAACAGGTAACCGAAATAAAAACAAAGCATGTGAACAAACCGAAGTAACTATACCAGGTGTTCCTTTTTTCCAGTTTATACTTCGGCCTGGGATCTGAGCTTGGTGGTCTTCAAAATTCCCAGATACCCAGAAAAAATCGTCATCGTTTAAGTCTTTATCCGGCGTATCTTTTATTATTTTTTCTCTGCGACGGCGTATCCTAAGGTAGTAGACCCAGCCGTCATCTTTGGAGCCAATGGAGTATTGGTGGAATATTTCTGCTAGATCGAGGTTAAGACCGGCTCGGCGGTTTAGTTCGGCTATTCCCATTATTATACGGTAAGAATTTGTGGAAAGCTGAGTTGGGCATATTCTGGTTTGTCTTAGGAATTCACAAATCAAGGGTTGAATGGAGAATCTTAGTCCGGTTTCTATTATTGATAAAAGGGTAAAAGGTACATAGCCCGCTTTTCCCCATGGAACGATATCTTGTTCGGCCAGAATGAGTTGGACGTCGTCAGGGATGTTGTAATCCCTTCGGAATTCGGCCAGGCCACCAGGGGTTTCTACCAAAAACCTATATTTCCCCATTTATTTTTTAAAGTTATGGATAAATTAGTTCGGTCGCAAAGCTATGCTCAGTAGCTCGGTTAAGCGCGCAGTGGAGTGCCTGGGCAACCTAAGTCAGCAAAGTGGAAAACAAAGGGGTTAAGCACAGATCATTGGACCGTGCTACAAAATAAAAGCAAGAATAGGAGTCCTACTTCGGCTATGTGGGATGCTACAGGTTCTGTCTCGGTTTCAACAAGATGCTTAGTGGCTCGGATTGAGCAGGGGGTTCGATAGCTCGGTCTTGGCGAGCGGTTCGTTATCTCGGTTAAAGAGAAGGCTCAGTCAGACCGGTTGAGCCTCTAGGGGCAGCTTTCTGAGTTCGGTCTAAAAACTTAGAAAGCTGGCTTAGCCCCGAAGACCTAGCTCGGTCGAAAGATAAGGTTTCCAGTATGCTAAGTTCAGACTTAGTTTGGTTCGTTTATCCCGGCTGAGGTAAATCAGAGGATGGTTTGACTTATTGAAATTGCTAGTATAAATATGAAGTGCTAGCTCGGTCGTATAGTTAGATTAGCGTGGCATCGACTACAAACTACTTTTTAGTTCAGTTATATTGTAATTTTGGATCAAACACGGTGTTCTATAGACTACTTCATGAAGTTCAAGTGGTTTTTAAAAGTGTTTTTCAAACATAGAATGCTATGGATTAAACAAAAGCAGAAACAAAAATAGAGAAACAGATTTATGATGCTTACCAGGTCTAGAGGCACAAGAAGATGGAAGTGGAAGTAACAACAATAGCAAGAACACGCAGCTTCTTCGAAATACAAAAAACAGTAAGAGCTAAGAAGAGAGAAAGAGAGAGAAGAGCTTGAAACAGTAAAATGATTGATGAGGGTGATTCAAAGGACGAAAGTGTTGTTTTGGGATATAGGAAGGACAAAAATGTGCGGGACTGTTCAAATTTTGCGGAGTACGAGGGCGGCGCGACAGCTGCAGTAAGCCAATACCAGCATGCCACGTGTCATAGGGATGAGAATCGATTCAGTTTGTGATTGAAGGGACGTTGTGACCGAACAAGCACAACTCGGCTTAAGTTTAGCTTGGCTGGAAGGGTTAAAAGTGTATAGCTTGGCTTTAAAGGCTTCAGAGTTTTAGCTCGGCTGACAGGTAATCCCTATCATGCTACGCAGATGGAATTAAGGGGCAATTGAAAGGGTAATTTATATGCGAATTGGGCCGAGCTGGGCCTTTATGGGCCTCAGTATGAAGGGCTGAGTAAAGAGGCCATAAAGTTACTTCGGTCTTGAAAAGGCTTAAAGTTAGTTCGATCTCAAGCCCAGAAGGTAGACCGGTCCGAGGGACTCTTGATGTTAGTCCGGTTGAAGGACGCTTTAGACCGGTTTAAGGGTGCTTTGAACTTATACCGGTCATGGCGCAGTGAAACTAGATCTGTCTAAACCTTGATAAAAAGATAGTTCGGTTTTGAGCATACCATGGTTTGTAGAAAACTATGGGCAGAGAACCGAACTAGGTATAGTTCGGCTAAGCATAGTCGTGATTACTTCGGTCGTATGGTAGGCCGGCCATGGAAGAACCATCTCACTTGGTTTAAGCAGTGAGGGGGGTGTTGAAGGATAAGCATTATCCTTCAGGAGTATGAATCCTAGGAGAACTTTGCATGGAGGAGTAAAAGTCCTACTAGGATTGTGCCACGCAAAAACTATAAAAGCTCACAAACATCATCTATGGAGAGGTAACACAACTTTTATTCTCGAATTCACAGAGTTTCTTGTCTATTTGTCTGTTTTTTTGAATTAGGCATCGGAGAGGTTTCCGGCACACACCCGCCGGCTAGCTCACGTTTGTGTTTTCAGGGAGTAAAGCAACGTCGTACGGAGAAGCACAGACTTGATCAATAGGATTATGGGTTGGATGTGATGTTTTATTTTTTGTGACTAAAATAACCTATTTTATCTTTTATTGCTAAAATAGCCAAAAAAAAAACCCAATCTAACTTTTCCCAAACCTATTGATTGAAAATAAAATAAATTATCATTCTGTAATAATAATAATAGTTCAGAAAAATTTCTTATGTTATCGACTTCTATGCGGATTAGCACTACTAAGTGTGTATGTAAAATTAATCATAGAAAATGCTTAACTGTTAAAAAATATGATACATAATTTATTTTTAGAATAATGTAGTAGCTATTTGTAAATTATGCTAAACAACAATAAACTACATCAATCTATATGACAATTGTGTATAATTATTATTTTTTATTTTTTTGGTATGTCACTATCTACTACTCAAAGAAAAATGTTATGATAATTAAGGTTGTGTTTGGAGCAGCTCTGGAAACATGATTCCATTGCATTTTTCAATACTTTGTTTGGTTTAAGTTTTCAAAAATCGATTCCAATGTCACATTCCAAAACGCATTTCAGATCATATTTGGAGAGCTGGGAGTTTTTTGAATTTTGAATTTTGAAAAGAGCAAATTGGGTCTACCCGGTCATCCTCCCGAACGTCCCCCCAAACGTCCGGTAGGTCGATCGGAACAGTATTTTTTTTGGTGGGCAATTGGCACCTGTTATTTGGAGAAAAAAAATGGGAATTTGTTTTTGATTTTTTTTAACAAAAAATAATTTTTATATTTTACATAAAAAGTATTTTCAAAATTTTTTTAAAAAAATTGTTTTATCAATAATTATTTTTTTGAATTGAATTTTAAAAAGAGTTTGGTTATGAGCGTTGAATAAAATTTTGAATTGTGTATTTGGTTATGAGTTATAAGTTTTTGAATCAAACAATTTTTCTAATTTAAAAATTCATTTCAAAAATTCAAAACTCAATTCAAACATATTTTCAAAACTCATAACCAAACAAAATTTCTCTTTTTAAATCATAATTCAAAAACTCAAAATACAACTCCATACCTAAATCATAATTCTAAAATTCTACCAAACGCTACCTAATTTTCTTCATAAAAAAAGGGGAGTAATTGCTTTGGCGCAATAAATCTCATCTTTTATTTATTATGAAGAATTACACCTCGGTGTATTTTTTTCAAAAAAAAAAAAATTCAAATTAGTGGTAAGGTTTATAAATATTATTAATTAAATTTATAAACTTTTCCTCTAATCAGTAAATACTTTTCCAAAACTTCACAGAAGTGTAGTTTTCCTTATTTGTTATACCAATGTATGCATGAATGCCGTGTGTAAGGTGTCTAATAATATAGATGAAAGAGAGAGGGGGAGGATTCATGCAATATAATTTGAGACAGAAAAACAAAATGCCCCCCCAAACGGGGAGGAATTGGAAAAGGAATTTGGGTGAAGTAAGTTGCATATGCAACATTCATGCCAACTCTTGTTGGTTCAAAAGTAAAACCTTTTAATTTACTGCATATTTAAGTTAACACAAAAAAAGATGATGTTGCAACACAATCAATTTTCTTCCTTGTTTTTTGTATTATCATCAAACATCAAAATAGAATAACCAATGTGGAGAGCAGGAACTTGGGTCAATTAGTATAGGTTGTATCTCCAATACTATAAATCTAGAAGGAAAAAAAAAAAAAAGGGTAAACAGAAAAATTCATCTGTGGATAATAACCATTTTAGACATTAGGGTGTGATCTAATGATTAGTAGCTACACCTTAAGATGTGATGAGTGGGAGGTCAAAAGTTTGAGATGATTGAGCAGTGGTGAATCCTTAAGTTGTAATCTAACTACACTAACATAATAACACTATCTTTGATAAATAAATAATAATAAAAAAAAGAGATCATAATCATTTTAAATGAGACCCATATCACACTAACTTTAAATTTTTAACTCATTTTGAAATATCTTTTTCTTTATGTTGTGTTTGGTTGGGAGATTTGTGGAAGGATTTGGAAAGGGAAAGGGAAAAGGTGTGTGAAACTAAGTGAAATTTAGGCATGTTTTATTCACATTTCACTTACCTTTTCCATTTCCCTTTCCAAATCCTTCATCAAATCCCCCAACCAAACACAGCATTAGTATTTTTGATTTTTGACAGAAACCAAAATAAAAGAGAACCTTTTTTAAAAATATATTTTATTCATGGTTAGTTAAATGTGATACCCAAACATGATCAAATTCTGAGCAAAAAAAAAAAAAAAACATGATCAAATTAATATTTTTTTATAAAATGAACAAAACCTGCCTGCATTAACACTATTTGATAAATGGGCTAAAGTTTTGGACATGAAGTAGTGAAAACAAAATTGAAGCTGATGGGCTTGGTAAGAATCTTTCATTTGGGCTTGGAAAAGTCAGACCAATTCAACCTCTGTTCTCTCTTCTCTGCGCAGGAAGGAGGGAGAGAGAGAGAGAGAGAGCATGAATGAACAGACATGCCAGGTTCATCAAGCTCGGCCTCGACACAAACCCATTGGTCGCCACTCGACTCATCAACGACTACATATCATATTCTCAATCTCCGACCTCTCTGAATCACGCCCACAAACTGTTCGACCAAGTGCCCCAAAAGGACACTGTCCTATGGACCTCCCTAATCTCTTCCTGCACTCGCCTCAACCAACCCCACACAGCCCTCCACCTCTTCTCCCTCATGCTCCGTCTATCTTCCCCTTCCCTCCAACCCAACAACCCATTCGTCCTCGCCACTGTCGCTCGCGCCATCGCTTCTTCCCCGGAACACCTCCAATTGGGTCAGATCATCCATGCCCTTGCAATCAAATCTGGGTTTTTACCCAACAATGTTGTTGTTGAAACGGCTTTTTTGGATATGTACTCCAAATGTGGGGTGATTGGGTCTGCACGTAAGGTGTTTGATGAAATGCCGGAGAGAAATTTGGTTACTTGGAATGCAATGATTGTTGGGTATGTTCGTAATGGAATGGAAAATTATGGGTTGGGTTTGTTTTACCAGATGAAGTGCCATGAATTATGCACGCCGGATGAGTTTACTTTTGGGTCTGTATTAGCAGGTTGTGCGTGGACTCAAGATCTGATTTTGGGTATGCAGGTTCATGGGTACATTATTGTCAGTGGCTTTGAGTCGAATTGTGTGAATCCGATCGGTAACATGTACTTTCAGTGCGGTGAAGTTTCTTGCGCTGAAAGACTATTGAATGAAATGCAAGGGAATGTTGTTTCGAAACTCATAAAAATCAGAGGCTATGTCATTAATCAAAGATATCATGATGCAGTTGATTATATTGCTTCTGAGAATAACATTGCAGAATTTTTTAAAGTGGATAGCACTATGTTTGTGCCTCTTTTGACTGTATGCACAGAGCTCTTTTTGCTCAAAGTCGGAAGACAAGTCCATGGCTTTCTTATTGCTTTCTCTAGCTGTCATTGTAATAATTATTCATTGGATGATGGCGATGCAATTATTGGAAGCGCTTTGATCAATATGTACAGCAAGTGCGGTAGCATTGGTGAAGCTCGAAAAGTTTTTGATGCTTGGCTGCCTGCCCAACTTGTGGCTCTTTGGAATTCGATGATATCAGGTTATATGTATAATGGTTTAGTTGAAGATGCTAGGACACTGTGGGAAGAAATGTCAGAGAAAAATGTCATTTCATGGACGAGCATGTTATCTGGGTATGTACAGAACAATATGCCACAAGAAAGTTTAGATTTACTAGCTAAAATGTATTCTAACGGGGATGGATCTAGAGTAGAAGGGAACTGCTTCACTTTTGTAGCGGGTCTTGAAGCATGTAGCTATTTAACAAACTTAGAAATGGGAAAACAAATCCATGCAAAGCTCATGAGGACATTAACTAGAGCTGATACCAATAATGTGGTTGTTGGAACGGCTTTGGTGGATATGTATTCTAAAGCCGGCTATTTGTCCTATGCACAAACTGTTTTTGATTTGATGGTGGAGAGAAATGTAGTTGCATGGACATCTATCATTATGGGGTATGCAGTTCATGGGTTTGGTTTTCGAGCCCTTGATTATTTCCAGCAGATGATGGAAATGGGCGTGGAACCAAATGAGGTGACATTTGTGTCTGTCTTAACTGTTTGCAGCCATTGTGGTTTGGTGGTTGAGGGGTTACAATACTTTAAACTGATGAAGGAGAAGTATAGATTAATTCCAAGGGAAGATCATTACACATGTTTGGTTGATATGTTGGGACGCGCTGGAAGGCTTGAGGAAGCATGGAATTTGCTGGAAGAAATTGATGTTGGAGAAATGAGTTCTAGAGGTACCATTTGGGCCGCAATGCTTGGGGCATGTCAATTGCATGGGAATGTGGAAATGGGAAGGAGGGCAGCTAAGAAGATGTTAGAGACAAAGAAACAAATTTTGACGACTCATATTGCACTTTCTAATGTTTATGCCGGGGCAGGGATGTGGAATGAAGCGTATAGAGTGAGAGAAAATTGGAGCAAAGAAGGTGATGTTAATGGGGAGCCAGGTCTTAGCCACATCTGCACAAACCTTGTGGTTTCTTGATCTAGGTTTCTGGAAAGTTTTTCGTTAGAGAAGTAATTTCTTCAGGTTCAATTGATTGGGTATGAACCATCTTTGGACCATACAACTTGTCTTGGAAGAAACATGGTTGTTAAAAGAGGATGCATAATTCCGGATTGCTAAGTGGTATTTAGAAAACAGGGCCACTGGAATAGGATGCATAATCAGGAATGACCAAGAGGTTGGAATGTGTTGGCCACCACAAGGTGATTTTTCTAGAGCTATAGTCTTAACACAATCTTCTGAAGGTTTTAATTGTGTTTTTTTTTTTTTTTTTGAATAAATTTTAATTGTGTTTTTTCAATCAACTCATACTGCTGTAAATGTTGTAAGCATGACTGTAGTGATCTCTTGTGACTTGATGATGTTTAATAGTGTGTTTGATCTTTTTTATTAACAATAGTAAACTATTTTATAAATTATATTGGAAGATGTGCTTCTGGATTAAACTAATGGATGGAATCAGGAAGACTACTTCTTGGACTTTTTTATTCTAGTTATTATTTTCTTTCTTTTTGCCTTTTTGGATGGTGTCATGCTACCACGTGATTGCCTTGTAGTATTTTAACCAATTGAACTTTGAGGGGTAAATTAACTAAAACATAAAAAGAATTATTTGTGTTTGGTTGATTTTGGTTTTATTTGACTAAGAAATACTTCTTTAGAAGTGGGAAAACTTCTAGTGGACCAGCTTGGTGTGCCCATGAAAACAAGTAATAAGACAAATGTATTCTTGGTTTTCAAAGTCCCATCAACCAAACCAAATCAAACTAAACCAAATTAAGCTTTAAGTCCCATCAAATAGGGTTGGTTGCATGAATTATTCTTTTTTACTCGACTCTATCCAAGGCCATTCAAATTCCCAACAACCATTGTTAGAAAAAAATAAGAGCTAAGGATTACTTAATTCATATCAAAACTAGTTCTGTGTCTGTTTTGGAGTTTTGGATGTAGTGTGTAGTGTAACTTGGAATCTTGATTTTCTTCCATTGGATGATGCTCTGCTTAATGCATGAACGTTTTCTACGAAGGCTAGAGAAAGTCGGAACCCCTCAATTTTAAGTCTTTTTTCTGTGTCATTTCATGATACCAAAACGTAAGCATGAACCAATTCATGTCTCTGGCCGATTCTACAGCTTCAATCAACACAAAATGATCTCTCCTTTCAAACATGATGCATAAATTTATTTGAGAGAGAATCGATTGAAATGGGTTGGTCATATTCAACGGAGATCAACAGAGGCAATAATGAAGAGATGCGATGCTGTAACGGTAGATCGAAATGTTAGGGGACCGGATAAGCCTAGATTAACGTTGGATAGCGTTGTAAATAGAGATATGGATCTACTTAATTTGACTAACGAAATAGCCTTTGATAGGTTCATGTAACCCAGTGTTTTTAAAGGCTCAAGGCGCACTAAGGCGCCGAAGGTCTCTTGGAGCCTAGGCGAGGCGCGGGCTTTATTGAAGTAAGGCGCACAGTATTCGTAAAAAATAGAAAAATTAATATAGACTAATCATTCATAGTACTAAGACAATTTTTTAAAAAATAAAAAGTAATCAAGATTCAAGACAAAACATAGAATAATTCTCAAAGCCATGAAAGTGCATATTACATAACATTTCAATTTTTAAAGATCAAATAATCCACATTCAATAAAATAAAAACATAAACATTAAACATCTAAAACATAAATATCCAACAAATACTAATATATGTCTTAACACTTAAAAACATCAATATCAAAAGAAAGAGTAGGTTAGGTCGGTGTCAGTCAATCATCATTCTCAACATCAATGGCAAGCAAACTATCATCTTCTTCTCCATCAGTTGATTTGTATCCCTCAACATCTTCCTCCTCTGTGTCACCTGAGCCCGCTTCCTCTTCATCTATTAATAGAAGTGGAGTCAATGTTGATGATTTAGATATCCTCGGTTGTGCCTTTGAGCGTGAACTTGTTGCTCTACTTGCATGGCTACTTTCATCTACTTTAGAAGCTCTAGCAACAGTGGCCCACGTCAAGCCATCATCATCATCAAACACAAGCTCATTATCTTCATCTGATTCTCCATCCATCCTCCCAAGCAACCACTCATTGCTTTCATCAATATTTTGCAAAGATATGGGATCAAGAGTGTTGCGCATGTCATACCTAAATCTCAATGTTCTATTGTATTTGACAAACACTAAATCATTGAGATGTTGTTCCAATCTATTTCTTTTCTTGCTATGAAGCTGCAATTATTAAAAAGATATTAAATTCTATATAATGAGAATAAAAAATATTTGAATTGAACAAAAAATGTTCATTGCATTGCATTTGCATAATACTCTTAAGTCACTGTGTTTACCATCTAATATCCTGGACGGCTTGTTAAAGGCTTGCAAAAGGCTAGTCGAACATAGGCAATGTCACGTTGGGAACACAACCCTTAGATCTGGATTATTGTCGTACCACTTGATCCTCTTTTTATTTTTCGGTGTTAGATGTGAGAGATATAGCTA